TAGCTGAGTCGAAGTTTATCTCGCTTCTTGTTCGTCGCTCTCCCTAAAATAATTAGATCGAAACGATGATGGCTGTCAATGGTAATCGAAGAAAAAGCGAACGTCTAATTGCAGCGAATAGGATCGCGATGGATTGTTTGGTCGTGTTGTATAAATGATGAATAAAGTGGGAGGGATAGGGTATTGAGTTGTTGGATGGAAAGTCGAAACTCGCCGATCACGTATTTCCGAAGGCGGCGGGGACGAACGTACGATCGACGAAGTCGCGCGCATTTATTCGTGGCCGATCACTTTTTATTGATGTACCGCCGACCGAGGTGATTTCGTATGCGCAACGAAATGGCTTCGAGGAATCTGTCATCGGTCATTTATGACGCACCGTGTGCCGAACCGGTGTGCCGATCGTTACCGACGAACACACACCGATCAAGACGCACGCCCTCTCTATTCTTGGCCCCTCACCATCGGAGAGCATCCACCTAAATCGTTAATTCTTCTCTGATTTTTATATCTTTTCCTTCTCTTTAGTGTTTTCTCTCTCTCTCTCTGATTGCCTTACAAATTACAATGGTTTCAATGGCGGAAGTTCTCACGTGATTTAATCGTTTAACCTGTTAAGATCCAGGATCGTCAGTCGAATTCTCAGTCTCTTTGAGAATAAATTGCACGGTCGCTGCGTGTTTATGCATTTATGGGAAAATGTAAACGTGCAAAAGTACGTTTAATATAATGTAGAGTACGTTTAAAATAAAGTGTTTATTTGTAATATTTAGCGAGCCGAAACTCTCTGTTCGGGTTTCGTTTCTTTAGAACTGCATAAATGTTACAGTCTAGCGATTGTAACTTACTGTTGATAAAAATAAAACAAGGCGTTAGAACGTATGCATGATGAAGAATCTTTCTGCCAATTAAATCAATTGAATTCCAATAGTCGTGAGTTCAATTAAAATGGAGAACAAAAAGTTACGTATCTATCCGCGTTCTGACTGAATTAAACAAGACAATAATCGGCTTTCGTCCGTGTTAAATTATAAAAATAGCTAAATGTATTCGTGTACTACGTAGATCTTTAATCAAGAACTGTGGCTGTTAGATCGTCTCCAAGCGATCAAATCGGTTTTCAAGTTTCATTCACCAAGTTGCCTCCCTCGGTTTCATGCAGTTTTCACTTCGGACATGATCGATTGCACTTTCATGTCATTCTATTTGCGTGTCATCTGTGGACTGCTTTTAAATGAACTGCAACCTTAGTCTTAAAACAACTTCAATTTGGCTAATAAAATTCTTAATCAAACGATTGAATTTTCAGAAACGCAAATATATATGAATATCCATACGTTCGCGATTCGGAATTCAAGACTTGAATTTATCATCCGTAATATTATTTATTTGGCGAGGATAGGCGAGATCAAGCACAAAAGTCCGAATGAAAATTTTACACCGAAGCTCGAGTAGAAATTTTGCCAAAGCAAAACTTTCGCGTGAAGATGAAATTATTATTTATAATTTTCTTTGTAAAGTTAAACGAAACGAAGGATCCCGTCCTGTTTCATAGTACGGACATTGATATATTTCTGTCTGAAAATTTTAACAGGGGATCCAGTCTCGAATCAGGATGTGAAATAATAGAACAGCGGGAGCGTGAAATTTTAAAGAATCTTATAGGAACGTATCTATGTTTCAACAGTTCGCGGTTGATGCCATGCAAGACAAAGGCGAGAGGATAAAAATTCACTCGAGTTTTACCCGCGAAGATTCGTTATGAATTCCGCCGCTCTGTTGTTTAATGAAATTTTCTTTCATTAAGGGAATGACGGACGTTGCATTGAAATGTGGCTCAGCTGACGCGCAAAATTAATCACATTAACGAAACATTCTGGAGGAAGAACGTTTTGGAAATGAATAGAGCCGCGGGAATGACGTATCGATCGCGGATTAAATGAAATTATTCAATGAATCCGCGAGTGAATGAAACCACTTGGCTCTTGGAGAATTTATAGCATCTTAAAGAACTCGGTTCCAATGGACCGACAGTTCGTCTGCGAAGCGAACGACATAACTATTTCTCCGAGATTGATACATTAACGTTTAAGTGGAAGTGAAAAATCGTGCAAAGATCTCTGACAGATTTATTTTATAACCTAGATCACACTTGACGATTTTCAACGCTCAGTAAGCTTCATCTATTTTTGAGAAACAACGATTACATTTTTATACGTTTTAGCGTTTGTGTCGGCCTTATGATTTCGTTTGTTGCTCAACAATAATTTCTAGAAAGTTCTACTTTATCTTCCTCGGCGAAAGATATTTTAATGAAATTTTCTGGTAGAGATTCTACAAATTTACGTGCAATGCAGATTCGTTATTTCGTTGATATCTCGCGTTCCTATCAAATTATTCTTAGACATTGAGTCCAAGCAGCAATCAGCTTCGCAATTTCACAGTAACTATGTCGTCTGCTTGTTAGACAGCGTGATTTATTTAGCAGCTGTTCGGATAAATAACGGTTGTTTGCATCGATCGCCGGCTCAAATGACGTAGACATAGGATTGGTTAAAAAGCAAGTAATAGCAATAGTGAAAGCTTTACGCGACACATCCGCAAATACACATCATCATCGTCATCCAGCTCTGAAAGTTTAATTGTTTTCCATAATTTCAGCGTTTTTTTTTTTTTTTTTTTTAATTTCAGCGTTCTTTTAAATGTCTATAAAAATGTACATCCAACTTCTCTCAGAGACACAAATATGAATCAATTTTATTTTACTTCAATTTATTTTATTGTAGATAGACTTAGACCACTGGCAATAATAATTCAAGAAGAGATTTCTTTCGCTCTTCTGCCAGAATCTTCGGTTCACCGATTTTTTTCTCTTGTTCATTGCCCTATGGCGAGCAACACGGCAAGGGAGGGATCGCCTCGAGTTGCTATTCGCAAGGAGAAAGCAAATTCTGGCGAGAAGGGAAAAAACCATGTCCCCTTGCAGCATGACATGACCTGATTTGGACCCTTCGATTAGTCGATACAGTTAATGGTCTTACCAATAAAAAGTCCGATACGTATCGATATCGATCAATTAAATAATTACCTAGAATTTCTTATTCGAGAGTGAAGTGATTCTGAATATTTTTCAATATAGCTTCTATTTTTTGACTATTTTTTTTATATCATATCGATTTGTTTATCTCATTGAGGAATTAAAGACATTGCAGCACGTACAATTAGCTTGTTGATCTAATAAACAGTCTGTTCAAAACATCAGCATTAGCGTAACTCAGATACATTCTCGCGTTTGTGAATCATTCAAATATTCGATATCATGATTCGATAATTCAGCTATCGACAAACGTGAAACGAAATTTCCTCTCGAAGGCATCGATTGAAAGACAACTGTTCCAACTACTTGGAAACAATTTTCTGGCTTTTCAAATGCAGAACAATATTAAGTTAAAAATAACAAATGACAGAAATAGCGTATTAAATACTTCAAAATGTATGGAATCATTCATTAAGAATTATCATTAAACTTGATGGCTGCACATCACTATTTTAACTGAACATATTTATTATTGATACAATGGCCCCCAACTGTTCAAATAAATCGTTAAAAATACAAAAGCAAAAGAAGTATTATAAGTCTGTCATCGATAGAAATTTCAAAAATTCAGAATCTTTTAAATAGGATCAATCATCGGTACAGTTATTCAATTATTGCATAATCAATTCCATCTACGAACCACCTTAAATACCGTAACTCTAACATAAGATAATAGCTCGTCTTGCTATAAAACTCGAAATGATTACTAATCACGGAACAAACGAAAATTATACTTGATTTTACCAGCGGTTATGATATTCGTCTTTGTGACTGGTTTTCACGGAAACAGCGAAGAAATCATTTTTTTCCACCCGCTGCGGTGCAGTATATTTCCACGTACAGGAAATACATACTATTTCTAGTTTTCAAAACACTCGCTACGGACGAGAATATATCATGAAGATGTATAGTTCTGCTAGTGTAGCGCCATTCCGACGGGTAGTAGGAACCGGATCGAACTCCGATTTGGCGAATAGCCAGTGTCTTGATGAACACTATAGAAAATACGTTGTACCGTGTATATTTTCATAATCGCATAAAATTCGCGTGATTTTTTTTTTTTTTTTTTTTTAACTGAAAAAGGCCCTAAATGTCTGCGACATCTACCGTTTTATCAAAAATTCTCGAATGGTATTTAAAATTGTGCGTCTGTTGAAATCTCAGAACTTTTCATTTCTTCTCTTTGATTTATTAATTGGAAGATAAAAGCCTTCCATGTCACATCACGGGAAGAGTGTTTCAGAAACTAAATAATTTTTAGATATCTTCCTACAAAATATTAAAAAAAAAAAAAAA